AGGAAAGAAAGGATGGAAGGGTTAAATAACTGACAAGCAATAAATAACTTATAATAAAAGTTGTCAAATCAGATGTTTATTATTGCCCTATAATAATTTCCACTTTATTTTCCTTTTGTTAAAACATACTAAATTATATTTTAAAAACAAAGAGAGATGAAAAAGATATCTATTCAAACAATAATTAATTGATGGGGTAAATATAATTGGCATTTAATTAATAACTATTCAATCAATATCAATTAATAAATATTTTTAAAAAAGTTTACATAGTAGGCTATTTTCAAGATTCAATGTATGGTGAGGTCGATGTGGTTTTGACCCTAAAATTGACCAAGCATGATGTTAACCAGAGCTTGTGAAATGGTAACTTCTTTAATTACCAACATAAATTCATGGAAAATAAATTTATTAGGAAAGTACTAATAGAAAAAGTATAGAATCATAACAAAACAAAGGACATCCTGAAGATGAATAACCAAGTGAATAAGGAAAGTTTGTCAAATGTAACCTTGAGTGTAGTTTACATAAGATGTTACTAAATTAGTATGTTTTCATTTTTATAGATATTTCCCTAGTTCTTTACTAAATAATGTTTGTATTGAAAATCTTCAGAGAAAAAAAATATAAACATAAATTGTATTTCATTCTTCTATCCTTCACGAGTAAATATTTTGTTAATTTCTAATATTGTATGATTTCTAATTATTTTATTCCATTAAATAAATATTTTTTATCCCTAAATAAATTATTATTAACTTTTATTTCTATACCACAAAAAAGTTTATGCAGAAAAAAAAATAGCAGCCATAAAAAGAAGTGATATCAAAAAGAACTGCCTGCTAGTAAAAGGTCCTTCATGATTAGTGTCTTATTCTAGAGTTTTATCTGAGCTCAAAGGATAAGATCACCAGGACTTCTTTCCTCTATTCTTTATGGAATGTGTTCACCTGGTGAATGACAATAATTAATTATTACATCCATTGGGATACATTATTTGAAGCTTAGTGCATCAGCTTAGGAGGAAGGGAAACTAAAATTAGGCGAAAGGTCTGATGGTATTAGGTATACAATTGATGATAAATTATTATCTCCACATATATTATAACAGTAAGGTTCGAAATCAGTTTTGTACCAAATATAAGCTCCTGTCGTGCTCAAATACCATGAAAGGGGTACCGTTGGATTCAGAATTTCATGGGGGGGTTAGCGAATTGTATTCTCCGCTTTTGTTTTTCTTTCTAAAATAAATAAAGCCGATACAAACATTTTGCTAGCCTTCAATACTGGAACGGTGGTAGGTCTGTAGATCGATACGGGACAAATTGGTTCTTGAAGATTTTGATGCGTACAGCAAGACCTGGATATTTCCTCCGGGACTATCGAATCCTGCGTGTTTAAGCACAACAACGTACTATTTTCAAGATAACGCAAGGCATAAGGTTCGCATCCACACAACCTTACATTAATTGTAGTACTGTCATTGAATACATGTCTCATTTCGTCGACTTGAGGTCTCTATGATCGAGAGAGAAGTAGTTTATATTAATTATCGATGGTGTTTTTAATCGGCAAGCCATATCATCGTTAATTTTTCACCAAATCTCAAGATTGAGCCACCAATTTCGAAGGCTTCCTTCTCCTTCAGGTGGGCAAAATAGTCCGATCACCCCGGAAATTCAGGCAAACAAGTTATGAAAGAAAAAAATTTTATTTGCGAGTAACTAAAAAATTACACATTTTTCCCTTGGTTATGCCCATGATTATATAAAAGATTACTTACTGAAATTTGTAAACAATGGTTCCAACCAAAAATGAAGATTTAAATTAATTTTTGTTTTCTTTGTCGATTATATTTATCGATAAAGTAACAATTGATTTCTTCACTCTTTTTTTATCACTCTCATTATTTTAAATAAATCATATAAATGATTCTTTTTTATCAATCCTTTTCTATATAATTTATTTAAAATAATTACTTGAAATCAATATGTGCAGTAATTTTCATTATTTTAAAGAGTTACTTATAATATAATGAAAGATAAATAATCATTTATGCCCACAAGTTTATTTATGTTTACTTGATAAATATGTAATATATTTGTTTAGTTGCTTGGCAATAATAACTTCCAATTATTAACAATACGAGTATATTTTTAACGTTACATGTTACCAGTCTAGTTTACGTTTCGGGACCTTTTATTCCCATCTTCAGAACTGCAATTCCAATACTCTTGTGGATGCAAGACTTAATTCTAATAATAAAAATAATAATGTGCTCCATCCTCAATTTTCTAATTTATGTTCTAAAATTTATCATCTAGAGCAACATTCTCCTTTTGACCAATAATTGGGTTTCTGCCATAGTGAAAATTTGACCTTTGGATCTAAAATCCTTTTTAGGAAAATTTTAGATCCAAAGGTCAAATTTTCACTATGGCAGAAACCCAATTATTGGTCAAAAGGAGAATGTTGCTCTAGATGATAAATTTTAGAACATAAATTAAAAAATTGACGATGGAGCACATTATTATTTTTATTATTAGAATTAAGCCTTGCAACCACAAGAGTATTGGAATTGCAGTTCTGAAGATGGGAATAAAAGGTCCCGAAACGTAAACTAGACTGTTAACATGTAACGTTAAAAATATACTCGTATTGTTAATAGTTGGAAGTTATTATTGCCAAGCAACTAAATAAATTGACAACTTCCCAGGAAAAAAAAGAAAAAAGTAATATATTTGTTTACTCAACTATTGCCTGCTCATTAATTAAAATCAATTTTAATGTTTCAATTAATTTTTAACTTATATTGTTCAGGTAATGTATTTCAAGTAAATTGTACAAAATACAAATTTGTTATTTTTTAATAGTACTGTTGACAAAATAGTATCAGTATACAAAATTCACAGCAGTGCACACTCTTTTTACTTTCCATTCTTTAATGAATTAAGTCTGACTTCCAGAACTAGGAGGTCTTCCTAGCACTGGTCCTCTTCTCCTTCTGCAGGCCCTTAGGTTGAAGTGAGCTGGACCTTCCACCGTCTTCCTGCCATTTATGAAGTCTTTGAAGCATGAGAAGTTTTCCTCACTGACTAAATGAGGAAACTCCTCCTTGGTGATGACATAAATTCCTGCAGTTCTCATTAACGTGGCTCTTAATCTATCCAAAGCAGTGCAGGCCGTGGACCACATGCTCAACTGTCTCCAGAACACAGCTAGCGGCACATTGGGGATCTATATCCTGTCTAAGACCATGTAGTTTAGCTCTAAAACTCCCTTGATCCGTGAGGAATTTTGAAACCAACAAATAGTCCGGGAGGACCTATTTGGCTTGTAACCGAGATTGAAGGGTGGAGAAAAATTTTCTTAAGGTCCTCCCTTTCGGAGCCGTGACCCATCATCTGCTCCACTCTTCAATTGTTTCCTCCCAGATTATCTTTTTCCATTTCTTTAACAATCCCCATCCATGGGTTATCCAAAAGACCTGTTGAGTCCTCCCTTTTGTAATCATAACTGGTCACTTCTTCTCACATGAGGAGGTCGAGAGGCACCATTCCGGCTAGAGCCTGCACTGCTTTATGCGATGTAGACCTATATGCTCTGGTAACCCGAAGCAGAGCTGTCCTCTGAGCCAATTCTAGCCTATTTCTCTGTTTTAGTGTGAGGTTCCGAAACCAGAAGGGAGTTGGATACCCTACACAACAACTTTATAAATAGTAATTGTGGTTGGATAACTGAGGTCCCAAAATGCGCCCACCATACAACTTAGACCATTCATTGCAAGGACCACCCTACCTACCAGATATTCCAAGTGAGGCGTGACATTTAGGCTAACACCTAACTTAACTCGTAGGTAGGTTACCACCTCACTTGTAATTATAGTCTGGCCTTCTATACACACTGTTATTGGGTTTTCCCTATCAGTCTTTCCCTTAAGGAGGCTGGCTTGAGTCTTGGTAGCAGTCATCGTCATCTTCTTCTCCTCACAACATCTTGCGATTAGGCCAGTGCATAGCTCTGCTTCTCTCTTGACACCAGCTTGGCTGTTGTAGGCCAACACAGCAGTTAGATTGTCAACGTAGGTAGGGGGGGAAACCTGACAGTTGAGTGTGATCTTGATCAAATTATCTTCTTGCACAACCGAAATTATATTAATTAAATAATATTATTATTTATATTTGGAGTTATTTTTCTGAAATAAAATTTATTATCATTGTTGCCTTATCAAATTCTGTTTTATTTATTCAATGAAACTTTTTTTCAAATTATAACATAAAAAAGTTTTATAAATTAAAATTACAAAAGTTTTATGGATAGAAGAACGAAAAGTTGTATAGATGGATAGATAGAAGGATAGAAGAACTGATGAAAGCTTATTTGAAATTTTAAAAAACTAAATAATCATATTAATGATCACCGCATATGTCAATCACATTACGTTTCAAGTTTAGTTGCAATAGTCAATAAAAAATATTTATTTTCTTTTAATCCATTTAATTAATAAAATCTAGGAACCAACGAGATTCATATGATGTTTACCTCTAGCAGGTCAAACTGCAAAAAATACATTGACGAATGCTAATTCTCATTAAGATTAATTAAATTAGCCATTCATTCACCAAGAATTTTCTAAGTGTGGAGGAGCATTTGAGCAAACCAGCTCATTGGGGAATATTACATCTAATCCACACTAGTTGAATCTTCATTCGTCAATGCCTTGAAGAACAAGGATTTAACTAGTGTGCATGCACCGTTACTTAAATGTTTATATATGAAAAATGTTGTGTAATCAAGAAATCAAAAACTATTCATAGAACAGCAATGTGATTACAACTATCCATCTGAATACCAGGAAAAATATATCATTTGATAAAATTATTTTAGTTATTTGCTTGAGTATAGGCTTGAACTTAAATGGAAAATAAATTTCCAGTAAGTTATTGACCAGCCAAACAAGTTATCATAATTTTCTGGAAAACTTAAAGAAATCAATTAACCTTTTAAAGTGTCAGCATCCAAATTCATATAATTCTGGAAGACTCCAGTTCCTATTACTTCCTTATTTATCTGGCCTTACAGCAAATAGTGTTGAGGCTTTTAGCAGCACTTTGTCCTGTAGAAAGGAAAAAAATATTATTACTATTACTATTTATATAACTAACAATACCATTGTAGTACAGTATTGTTAAAAAGATATTAAATGCATAAAATTAAAGCATCATTGATTAGTAAGGATCAAGTATCAATGATTATAATAACCATTGATACAATAAAATTGCCTAAATTGTTTATTCACTTTTTTATTTAACCAGACATGGGCAAATGCTTTTTTGAGCACAGAATACCAAGCATTTTACTGAAATACTGACCTTTTTTGAGAACCAAGGAATTTAATTACTACTTCAGTCGATAACAAACGATTAACGGAAGTAGTTATTGAATTTCCAATAGTGATTCAATTTGAATAAAACAATTCGTATTCGGTACTCAGAGTAGCATTTGCCTATCTCTGCATTTAACCACAGGCAGATCTATGGATGAATGAGAGGGGAGACCTATCAAGCTGAATATTTCATGAGCAATATTTCATTGAAAAACCAGGAATACAACCAGAGAAAAAACAACTAAGCATTTTGACTTGGTAGATTTTTCAAAAAAACTTTTAATAACTTGATTAGAACAAGGAAGAAAAATATGGTAGGAAGAAACAAGTTATTACAAATTATAATTATGAATCTATCCCAGTTTTAGCTTTTAGCAAGAACCACTTTTTGTTAATGTCATAAATTGATTGTTCAACACCAAATAAAATACAATGCTTCCCTACCTTCGGTAGTGAGCAAGCAAAAAATAATAGATAAGTTTTAAACAATTTATTTATGTCAGATTAGTTTAATGATAAAATAAATAATATTTTAAAAAAAATAGTAATAGTAAATTAGAGAACACTCAATGTTATGCATTATTCATTATGTAGTTTTTTAACAGATTATAATATTGCTTAAAAGCTAAACTTTAATCATTATTGGGTCAAGATAATGAGTAGCAACTAAAATAAAATTACCATAGTACTTTGAACATTAAATTAAAATAAATTTTTAAGCAAGTAAAAAAATTAAATTATAAAATTTTGCTTCCTTAAAGTTGTTTTCATATACATACTTATTGATTTTTTTATATTTCCTGCGAAAATAATTGTATCATCAACTTAGAAGTAAGTGGCTAAATAATTGTACTTAACGTTTCTTTAAAAAAAAAATGTCAACACTGGAAATCTACTTTAGTTATTTTAAATTACAACAGAGGTCGGTAATAAACAGTTCTAGTTTTAACCGCCAGATAGCTAATAGGTGCGTGAATAATGGCTTGGTTTTTTTTTTTTTCAAATTTTATGTTATTCAAAACGTCAGAATTCATTATTTCTTCTGGTTCTAATGAAAATTCTTAGATGTCAAAATTGCCTCCAGGTAAAATATCATTGCATAATTGTGGTTGTGGAGATGTATTAATCATTAAAAAGTACTGTAATGGATACATTGCATTAGTTTGGATTATGAATAAGATATGAATTACAATTACTTATTTTATTCGACTGATTAATTATAATTTTAAATACATTCTATCGACTTTGTCTTGAATAAAAGCCGAGTAAACAGATTTATATATATATATTTAAGTTAGTTTATTTTACATTTAAATTGATCAATCTTCTTTTCCTTTTAATTGGCCACCTCAAAACCATTCTTCTCCCCTACCTGAAAATTATTTACTTCATTAATAAGTTTAAGAAGTTTAAATTGTATCTATCTAATTTTATCCGTAGTTCTCCTCTTAAAATGACTACTAGCTGTGTCTTTCTAAAGACAATTCATTAACTTTATTTCTGTATTTATTACCATTCCAATTGGATGATCATCTTTTGTCAATGTAATAATCCAGACAAAGTTTGCATTTCTCCTTATTTATTATTTCACTATAAATATTAACAATTATTTCTTACTTAAAACGAAACAAAGGATTACTTCCATGTTTTTTTAGATTTCACAGAAAATGAAACACTCCAATAAGCATAATTTTATTGGGAAATGTTTTGTTTTTTAAATTTTGGATGTTTACACAATTTTTTAAGCATCATATAAAAATCTTTATTATCTTCTCTGACACAAACAGCAGCTTTAAAAAAAAAGATCATTGTTTTTACACTACGTTATTGGAAATTATTTGATAAAAATAGAAAAATAAAATGAACGAAATATTTTATTCTAGTTCATAATTGATTTAGACAAGAATCAGTATAAATTATGTACATATAAAACTGCTTATAATCACTCTTTATCATTATTCCAGACCAATGGTTCTTAACCTGGAATGCATGAACTCTTGAGGGTGCAAGAGAGCATTTTCAGGGGTGCGAAAACGCGTGGTTCATTAAAAAAAGGAGCCTCCTTTTAATAGAATTATTATAAATAAACAAAAACAACCTAGCCGTTACCTTTTCAATATTACTTTTTATATTATACAGAAATATTTGCTATAAATAAACACAGTATTTGTTTATTTAATAAATATATTTTCTTAAATAATAAATATACACCAATGTTTTCATGGGGTGAAGAGCTTATTTTCAGATTCAATGGGGTGCTGACCACTAAAAAGGTTAAAAACTGCTGTCCTAGATAATGAAAATTTCGTCTTATTTGCATATATAATAAGAAGTTGCAAATTGCAATCATTATAGTTTTTTTTAATTACTGAATGAAGGGTAATATATACTAACTGTATTAAAAATATGAAAACCTTATAATTTCAAAATAGTCCTTAAAATCAAGAAAATGGTTTTAAAACTAATTATATTAATGAATTATAAATGCTGTTATTTAGATATCAACTTAAAATTGACTGTATTACATTTAAATTGCGTGGTGCATTTGTTAAATGAATATTGAACACTTTGTATTTCATTGTCTCTTTTCATCAGCATTGTTATGTTAATGCAATTCAAGATATTGATAATAACTCTCTTGTTTCCCTTAATTCTATTTGTAAATAATTAAATAAATATATTTCCTGTTCGTATTGCATATCTTATATAGCAAGTAAAGTTGTCCTGATATTGAATTTATTTATGAAGATTTAACCTCAAAACATTTTTTTTTCTCTATATTCTGTATATAATTGATTATTATTAATTATGCTGTATATCTGAACCCAAAATAATTAAAGAATAATAATAATTTCAACGTCCGGCCATTATAAAACCGCACCTTAAACCTCAGATGCCGAACAAGCCATTATAATACTTAGCAAAGAACTTGACCTCTTGAAGACCGCTCGTTGACGTCAAAGCATTCTCGCTTGGCAGATCGTAAGTGTTGATCTTCTGGTCTAACGAACATTAAACACGTGTCAAAAATATGAATAAATTAAAGTATTAAAATTTGTTTGCACAATATATTATATAATACACATATTGTGCTGAATAATTTAAATTGTTGTATGTTCATGTGCGCGTATACTTGTAATTATTACCGTGTCCTGTTTCTAACTAGAGGTCGTTTGAGCTCAAAAACAATAAAATTTTTGGATGAAAATTTATTTTTAATTTACGAATTTAGTTCGTTCAGAGGTCCAAGAGAATAAATTCTTCAACGGATTGACTACAGTTTGGTGGCTCTATTTCCCGATGATATCGATTGGCAGCTGTCGATTCTTTACAGGAACATTTTTATCGTTCCTTAACAAATTATACGTAAGTTTCAAAGTTCTTTCTATACAAATCACAAATGGCTCTGGGTACATTTGGAGTTTCTTTTTTCGCCAACCATCAAAGGCAGCCTAAGACAACAGATGTAACGTAAATGATGTCCGAAACTTAAGTCGGTAATAATAAACTTCAAAACTTACAGAAAAGTTAATTGGAGTCCAATTCCAAACCCAAAGGAATAAATTTAAATTATGTGGTTTTTAATGATTGTCACGTTCTTGTTGAATTAGACGCTATAATTAAAAAGCTATTTAAGTTTGGTAATCCCCAATCGCAGCATCGTAAACTGGACGAAATGTCCCTAAAAAACAATTAGAATTTGTCTTTGTTTAAACTGTGTGAAGGTGGCTTTGAAGTCGATAAATTATTAATAGTTCTCTTTATTATAAAATCATGGATCATTCGCGATTTATATATATTTTTTATCAGCCTGTTACTTGAACTCAGGATACCCACTTAAAGCTTTAAATACATTTTCATTAAGTTCGAGTATGTCACGGAATAAATTTCTCCGATTTCGTTGAACCAATATTATGAAGACTATGTGATGTGAACTTCAGTCTAATTAAATTATCTGTATTTTCAGAAAAAATAATAACAATACATTATCATAAGGCTATTATTTTTCTGTGATCTGGGGTATATATTGCAATAACTTAATTAGCACTATAAACATTCAGAAAAAAATAGGTATAATAAAATAATTAATAAGCTAGGGAGAGTAATCATTCTAGGAGAAGACTTGAATCTAATTTATGAAATAATACATAATTCTATATAAAATAAGCCTTGAGCAAGTTCATAAACTCAGCGCTGAGATCATTGATTAGCATCCGAAATTCATGGATTGATTAACGCTGAGTTTAGGTATTTGCCTCTTGTTTACCAATCCATCGCCGTTCGTTTAAAAATGGCCAAAAATTAATTTACCATAAATTGGCAAATGGACATGATCGCAGAACATACACCTAAATGAATAATAGCAAAGCATTTGGTTATTTTCTTATTCGTTTGTCGAAGTAAAATTTGTTTAAATTTAGTAGAGGCAAGAAATAATAATGATCGCCCTAAATAATATTTGTGTTTTTATTCATTACGGACTAAGTAAACATTGAAGAACTGACAAGATTATTTGAACTAACTGAGTTGAGACGTCAGTCAAGCTAAGTACCTACATCCCTCATGAGTTCGAACAGGGGTCGGTAACCTCTCCTAAACTGAATCTACACGACAGCAACAGACCAAGGTAGTGAATCAAATAAAGTATATTCAAATACAAAATAAAATGCATCATACTT